ATGTGAATTAATATGCACATGCAAATTGATCAAGGAGCCTGAATATTACACAGAAATTAAGAAGTAGGGTTTAGAGCAGGAGATCTGCTAATGGATTAATAACACTGTTAACAGTAAATATATCCTACATCTTCTACAAAGCTGTGCACTGGAAATTGACTACTGAATTGAGCTGAGGAATTAAGAAAATAGATATATTAAAATGAGCAGTTTACAAGTAGAAGGAGAATGCTTATTTTCTCCCTTTATTCAAGGATGCTTTGCAATCTGCTGGTTTGTGTACAGTACAGGAAGAAAAATATTTGCTGAGGCAGCTGACTGAATACACAAGCCAATTTCAACAGGTTTTTTGATTCAAAGCTTGAAAACTGTTTACTGCTCATTAAAGCACTCACAGTGGATATGAAGTTTTTCATCTATTCATCTAGTGAGAGGATTCAAAGTAGAGCATGGAGAGACTACCTCAAAGAGATGCACTACAGTTGTTTAAGATGTGTCCATTTTCTCCTGGCCATTTTCTCCAGATGGTCTGTTTACATGGGAAAATTGGTGGGAAGCAGCACATGCCTGTGCTCCAGCTGCAACTGCAGAAGCCAGTGTTATCCTTAAGCACCCAAGGCACAGGCACATTTTCTCCTGCCAGCTCTTCTGCAGCAGAGCAAGACCACAACAAAAATAACCACAACAGAATTCTCGCCTCTCAATGCTATCGTCTCTTTCCACAACTTAAATGCAGTGGGTTCTGGTCAGCAATTTGGAAATGGAGATTACTATGCTCATTTTCATTCTTTCTTCCCTACAAAAAAGCTCTGCAGGGCACTTAAATCAGCAGTGCACAAAAACAAATCAGTTTTTGTGGCATTGTCCCCAGTTTACAGGACTTCTGTGGATAAATACAAGGCTGACCTTCTATTCTGTAAGTGAAGGTATAACTCTTCCTCCTCTCTGCACTGGGAATGACTCTGGTAGGATTAGGTGGCATAGAAACCTTGGCAGCACGACATTGTACATCTCTTCCCACAGGAAATCTGGCTGTAGATAAAAGATTCTGCACAGTTCAGGATTAGCAAACTGTTAAATACAGATGAGATTTTGGCCTTGTGCTTCTACTACCCTACGAGGCTCATCTTGAAAACAGCTTCAACTCCAGATGGGACAATGCAGTTAATTCATCTGTCCTCATCTGATTTCCCCATGGAACTTTCTCCCTAAATTCAACATTTTTATAATGCCTTACACATCTATCGTACCACTCTCTGATGCTGTTTTAGGCTGAGGCTTTTACATTTCTCCTGACTAAAGAGCTGCTGCTCTCAGTTGTAGAGCCCAGTAAGTGACTCTAATGTTTCTTTGTGTCATTTAATGTAATCCAGTTGAGCAGATTAGCTTTTACTTAGCAATGCTTTAAAGTCATGATGCTTGTTGTAAATGCCAGTGATTTCCTTTCCTACTCAAATGAACAGCATAACAGAAAGTTTACATGTTAATATTCAGCAAAATGAATACTCCTTCAGCATCAAGTGTGGGGAATGACAGTGTTTCACTTGGAGTGCATCTATAGCTTTTCCTCCTCTTGCCATGCAGCATTCCTCTTTATCCTTTTGTTTCCCTTTAACATTACTTACTATCAAATAAAAGCATTTATTTGCTTGCTTGCAATGTGTGATCAAAACGCTTTAGTACAAATGGCTCAATGGTTCAGAATGGTTAAATTAAAAATTTATACTGAGAGCTAGGAATTGCCCCAAATTACTTTGTTCTGAAAACCACAGTCCTCCTACTGTACATTTAAGTATTAGCAGCATATTTTCTTTTAATGCAGCCATTTAGTGTTTGCTAGTGAATAAAGGGCTCATACAAACTTGCTCAAAATGCACAATATTGAAGAAAAATTCAAAAGGTCAATTGCAGTATGGAAATGCACCATTGTCAAAGAATCTGTAGAAAAGGCAATTAAAGGTGTACTGATTACTACTGTGTTGTAACTTAAATTATTACAAAAATCCTGTTGACTGTTTGCTCCTTGTCATGCAGACAACTCTGATCCATGTGATAATCTTGACAAAAGTTTGTGCTCCTTTGGGGGTTGTCATGTAGAGAACACTGAAAAACATTTGGCATCATAGTGCTATGTAACTTTAACTAGCACCACCTTCCTGACAGGTACATATACCTGTTTTAATTCACCACTGCCTAGAGTTATACATATGGCCTCTGAACTAAAATTGCCCTCCTTCCCCTCTGAAGTTTATTCCTCTGATGCATTTTTAAAAAGTAACCATTTTTTCTCTTGGCCTTAACTGGCTAGTTAAAAAACAAGTTGAGTTCTTTCAGCTCCTCCATATGTAACACAGGTTTTCCATGATCATTTATGCCAAAACACTCCACTGTTGTAGTACAGAATTGATATTTCTTCATAGATCAGAACAAGGTGTAGGAGCTCACACGAGGTCCGGCCAGTGTGAACTCCTATGAGGCTGACAGCCTGTCACCTTTGCTGAAACCCCACCTGCTGAGTACAGTCCATTTGCCTATTTCACAGCCATCCTGTGTTTTGATGATTCACAGTCATACTGTGAGCCATACACGCACACTTTCTTCTCCTCTGTTATTTCCAAAAATGAGCCTCAATCTTACAACATGCATCCTTCTTATTAGCTCATAAAAGGCAAACTTTGCAGCTCATCCTGAAGGCTATTCAGTATTTTCTGTGCAAGATTCCAATCCAGTGCTGCAGGCAGGATTACTGTCAAATGGATCAAAATGTGTTATATTTTAGATCTATAAACAATACAGGCACTGGGTCACTTCTCAGTTGATAATTCAGTATGCTACTATACAGCACAGTGAACATGTATATGTATTGTAGTCTCTGTTTCAGAGCCCTTATGAACCACTTAGAAATAGGTATTTAATTCAAATACTTATGAAAGAAAAGGAACCGAATCTTGAGAATCACAAAAAATAGAAAGTATATGGCATAGCTAGAGCACAGAAATATTGATGTGCAACACTGCCAAGGCTTCAGCACTAGCAGAGGCCAAGCAGATGGGGCTTCCAGTATGACCTACAAGTCTGACCTGGGAGTTCATTTAGTCAGACGGGTGAACAAAGACCAAAGGTGACACCATACTTTTCACTTGGGACACCTCACTTTGGCATCTAGAATTTGAGAGGAAAAATACTGATGGGAAAACCTTCACAAAAACAAAGAACTGAGGTAAGATTATAGGCTACAGTAATTTCACACGGACAAGTATATGGGAAGTGCACATACCTAATACACATTAAGGTCAACAGTGAAAGCTCCCAGAGAGAGCAACGGGTTATATGTGCCTGACAATTCCTAACCACAGTTTTACAGGAATTCAGAATGGGTCATTCACCATTGTGGGTACAACTAACATATATGTGATGTGATGCTGTCAGAAAATTACTTTGAAATGTCTCCACAAAGTACATCCCCACATAATCCTGTTCCACAACCACCAGGATAAACATAGCTGGTCCATATACTACGCCTTTAATCCTTCCACAGCACACAGTAAAATGAAAACAAATCCCTGGAACACTTCAGTAAGCATAGAGCAACAGCACCTCTTTCTCACATCTTTAAGGAGTACTCTGGTTGTTCTGCATTTGAGCTTGGGTATGTTTAAAATGAGTACTCCTTCAAAAATCATGCAATGCAGTAATTTCCACTGACATTCGTAATTCCTTCACTCTGGTCCCTACATTGAACACCTCCTCACAAGGCAAGCACCCAGAAGGACATTTGAGCCCCCTACACACTCCGTGGGAGAAGCATGTCTCTGCAACTCCAGAGGGCTACTCTGACATGAAGATAGGATTGTACCTCTCACACTGTCTCTACGGGATGATCAATGCCCCTAATCAAGGACTTCCTGAACTCTGACAAAAGTAGATGATTACATTTAAGGACCTAAAATACACTTTATTTGGGATTTTTACTGTATAGGTCTATATCTGCTTAAAGTACAAGTGTTTGAGCTCTCCCAGGAGAGATGTGACATTCACACCAGCTTTCTCCAGCCAAACAACTCCAGCAGGTTTGCAGAAACCAGAGGCTGGAGTTAAATACTGTTTTCAAACTGAGAGACTTTCACCACACTGCTCCCACACCCCAACCATCTGTACAGCATTACTGTGGTCTCCTGCTGAGGCTGGCCTAGCATGAAAACACAAATACAAGAAAAATCAGAGAGCCAGGAGAGTGTACATGAGGTTTCAACCTTTCTAATCAAATGGAGACTCTCTTTCTTCTGTCCATTATTTTTGTTTTTATTTAAATACCATCTAAATTGTAACACACCAAAAGTTCCATGAGAAAATAACAGGGCCCTTCAGGTCTCTTGCTTGCCTGAGAGGAGCTTCAAGAACTCTGTACTTCTAGTTAGAGGTTTCTGCTGCTTTATTGGAAACATATGATACTTGAGAACAGGTTGGTGGCTCAGACTTGCTAACACTGAGCTGCTTAAAATCCATCTAAGCTATTTATGCAACACTGTCCTCCCTGTTAAATTGTTGGAAAGGTCTCCAGCAGGGCTGTGGCACCTCTCCCCAAAATTCCCAGACATTAATCAGGGCCCATTCCCAAATGGCAATCTGTTAAGGGGTCCTAGTGCCTGGTAGCTCTGCAGTATGAATACAGACTGGTTTTAGCCAGTTGGCCTCAGCATGAGAGAATGGTCCCGGACACACAAATTTCACTGGTAAACATGCACACCTGAAGTCTGAGCCCAAGTACATAAATCTGAGCACTGAGTAGCCATTCCTCTCAAAGGGACCATGAAAATATGACCCTGTTATGTTCCTTGAATACTCAGAGACTGAGCTGTTCATTTTAGTAAGTAGATTTAAGATAAACATGTTTTATCAATTCTGACTTAAGCTGGCAATCCAGAGCCAGCAAAACAGGTGTGAGTTCCACGAGTTAATGATTCACTGGTTGAACTGTTGATGGACTTCAGCCTTCATGAGGGAGATTGGAAAAACCCAGTGCTTCAAAGGATCTTAGCAAAGAACTGGTATACATGAACTGGACTATCATGCCGCAGGAATGAAAGGTAAGCAGTATAGAGAAGACTACCATAAGGGATTTTGCAAATATATGGTCTCCACTGCAACCTACTAAAGGACAGCATGTAGAAGGAATGTAAAAAAAAAAGAGCAGAGCCTCCTAACAGTGCAGCAAATTTTTAAGTTGTTAATTAGAACCAAAATCTGTGAGAAAGTATTAGTGAGTTATGAAACTGAAATTAATCTCTTAGCAGATATGGTATAATCTTTTTTCTCTTTTATCCTTCAGTTGTTATAGCTTGCTTTACTTATTATGGGTTAATTTCTATTAATTACTAAATGACAGGTGTCATTACATGCTGAGTTCTCAGTGAGACAAATTGGTACTTGAAAAAATCAAGGATCAATACTCCTTTTACTCAGGGACTATGAGAGAAGTCACATTAAAAGGACCATGGAAATTTCTGAAGTAGCTAACAGGACATGTGAAGCTGCACCACGCATGTCCAGGCAACAGGTATCATAAATTCTAGTTCAAGTCACAGTAAAAAATCCAAGGACAAGTTCTACTGCAATAACATAACAAAAAAGAATTACAGCATTTTTATAGCATAAGCAATTACTGTACTGTTCCCTCAATGAAACAGAAATTGACCCTTCTGCTGTAAATAATTATACTTGTTGCTATAAAGAAGTGACAATTATGGGCATTAATAAAACCCAATCCCTTCTCTACCACAGACATCCTCAAACAACTTTACTGGCTGCCTTACAGGTTGTAAAACTATGATTTGGAAAGGGCTGACCCTACAGCACACAATTCAGGCCTTTATGCTTACAGACCCTTAAGAAATAGAAAGGATGCTCATAGCAAGCAAATCAAAGGTTCCCTTCATGCTCTTTAGAGCTGGTAGTCTCAAGTAATTTGAAAGGCTGTATTTTGAACATGGCATTCCAGAATATTATTAAGTTAGTAATGCTACTTAAACATGCATAATTACATTATTTCAACATGCCCATTTCTTTATCATAAATACACCTAATATCCAGACTGTTTTATCTGTGAGCTCTTGAAAGGCCAGAGTTCACTCTTCAATTTATTGAGAAGCTTTCCAAATTCTGCTGATTAATCTACAGTTCTGATACTTCTCAGCTGTGTCTATATGGCTTTTTTCTCATTACTGCATTACCATTACAAATTCAGGAAAGAAGGAAATTACAAAAACATGCCAGCATTACATAATATGCAAGGCAGGAATTGCAAGAGGATATAGCTAAAAAGGCAGATATTGCCGTGTCCTTATTGGCATGTGCTGGTGCCATGTTTTTGCCTGCACAGAACACTAACATCACTTATTGTGCCAATCAGCATTCTCCCATTTAAAAACTCATTTGCTCACATATCCTGAATTTATAATTATACTCATAACGTCTGCCTTTGGAATTCATGCACAGTAACTAATCCTTCACTCTTACTGTGCAACACAGAAACTCAGACAGAGATATCAGGAACTTTGAGAAGTGGATTGCAACTTTGAGGCCCAGGCCTGTGGCTACAACATACTCACAAGAGCAATGCAAGAATCTCATGGACTTTTCACAGTAATGGAAAGTATCCTGAAACTTTGGCATTCAGAGTGTTTGAAACCTTGCTGCTTTCTGAGTTTCAATGATATCTGCATGTGTTTCCAAACAACCTGCCTGGCTTGCTAGGTTTTTTTATTCTTTTTTATTTCTTGATTGTCAGTGAAACAATCAAATCTGCTGATCTCCTGACCAAGTGAGTAATTTTTGTAAAGCTAGTACATTTCAAGAATAAGGGTAGGCAGTGGCTTTTCTGGAAGGCTTTTCTTCTGAGATTGCAGAATCCTGAAAAAGCTCTCTCAGGCTTCAGATGACTCCATTTCTTCATATGGAAGCAGATGGACAATGCTGCAGGCATATGTGGCACAAGAGTGCCAATGCCTGCTGCCAGCTTACGAGGAAAGGAGTGGACAAAGCGACAGAGAAGAGGTGATGGCCAGACATGTGGAAGGCTGATCCTCACAGCACTAGTCATGCTGAAGGAAAGAGATGAAGCCCTAAGACAAAGCCTCCTGCCCTGTCATGTGTGTGGCAGGCATAGGAAGGCAACTGTGACCTCTGCTTCACACATAGCATCAGGTGGTTCTGTGGGGAACTGCTGAATTACATATGAGTCTTTGCATTTCAAGGTGACCCCCTCAGATTAACTCACTCCATCCTTCTACTGTCAGTGGGTAGGAATTAGGTGTCGCCTGTCATTAATTTAAAAATTATTACACTCTGAGTGCTGTTGAAATGGCTAAACCACATACAGAATTAAGTACTCCTTGAACTTGGGCTGACAAAGGTTTCTTTACACCATTTCAACTTCCTGTGAATCATGCTGTTCCTATGTCAGCGACCATGTGCAGACAACCTTCATTCCAGCTGTGACAATGAAACAATTATTTACATGATGCCTTTAAAGGTCTGGATAAGCCAATAAGAAATGAACATTTCTGTGAAATTTAGGCAATCTCATGTGTCACTCTGATGAGGTAGTAGAAAGGAGTGCTTATTGCTTTAGATAACATGTAGTTTGAAATTTCTACAGTAGTTTCCAGTTGTACTGCAAAATACTTATTATTTTATTATGGCCTTGTGAAGTATAATAAATGCTACTTCTTTGAGGTAGAGACATTAAAAGTATGTGTCAAAATTAAGCACTTCAAGTAAAGAGATGTTTGCTTTATTTTCCCAGTAGGGTTCTTATTTATGCAATTGGAAGAAGTTGGGCACACAGGTGATAAAGGGCATGCATGGGGATTACACAGATTGCATTCACTATAGAATGCTTAGCTTTCAGCTTACATAATTCAAAGTTTACTTGCTTCCTTCTGCATGTTTTCTTTAAGATACTTTAAAATTATACTACCTGGCAATTGCTACAGTTCTCTCCCTCTCATCGTGTCTGGGCTTTGCAGCCCCAGATGCAGCTGGACTGAACCCATATACTCAGAGCTTGGAGCAGAAGTACTTTGGTGTCCCAAATGCCAAGTATTGCATCTACAGGGATTTGCTAGCTGACACATTTGGTCATCCTGTTCTTTCATTTCAGACTGGAATAGGAAAGCACCAAATGTCTGTGGTGTCTTTAAGAATAGAAAGGCTGGCTAAATGTGCCATTAACTGGCCTGAAGAGTTTAATGGGGCAAATCCAGCTGAGCCAAACTCTGTAATAATGTAGCATCAAAAACAGATCATGAGGCAGAGTCTGGATGGTCTTGCCTTCTTTCTTATCCATTTTGCTACTTTTCCAAGTCAGCTCCTCACAGAGACTTGCTGTCACCAGGTAGTTCCAGTATTATTTGAGCCAAAATCTTTGGGATGTTTACTATTACAACATTTTGAGGATGTGGCACAGAATAGCAGGAAGAGGGTGGTATGGGGACAACATTTTGCTGCTTATGTAAACAGATAAAAGAAGTGGAAACACTTGACCTTTGTCATGACAAGACTGAATAGAAATAGGCGCAACAAAGAAAACTTCATTCTCCCGCTGAAGTTAAAACCTTGCAAGACAACTTTTTTCACAGGAGGTCACAAGATCCTTTTATAATGCAATGTGACAAACAATCTAAAGTTCTTTCTAACATAGATGAATGTATAAATAGCACTTAACATTCCTGCGTATGAGCCAGATCTCTGCAATAAATTAGCATTCCTTGGTTGAGTATATGGCACTGACCAATTTATACATTTGCAGAAAATTTGGCCCTAGAGTCTTCTAAACATTAGGATAACTTGCCCTGGAGAAGTAAAATATACAAACTGTATTGCCTTGGAAGAGTGAGTCCCCCCTCAACAGATGTTGAAGAGCCCTCATAGAAAATATATTTGCATTTGTATGCTTTTCATGCAAATTCTTCAAAATTTTACAGACTCTTAAATTCAAATATCTGAGAACAAAAAGAGTATCTGCAATAAGACATATATTTCCACAAAGGGATCATCTAAAATTAAACATTTTTTGTTTCATTTAAGCCTTGTAAATGACAATCATTCTAAAAGTCAAAATAGCTTAGCCAGCTGTTAAAAAAGTACATACATTCATCATTACTGAAAGCATTACTGCTTTAAACATATATAATTCCAAAATAATCTCCTTGAAACAAAGACAGCAACAGACATAAAACATGCTGGACCTGAAACTGGAGACAAAGCAAGCAGTATTTGTTGTATTAAAAATCTGACAAAATACATTTCAATCATGTCCAGTCCTATGAATTCTAAAACAACCTGGAATGCCATTTGGCCTTCATGATTATTGTGTACTTAATCATTGTAAACAGAGCTTTCCGAACATTTCCATAAACTCTGGTTTTGTGAATCAACATTTAAGCAATCAGCATTACACCTTCTCTCCTTTGATGCTGTGCTGCTTGTGTGCAGCTTCTAAGTGGCATAAAATATCAGGATTTTTCTTATTTAAGAAGAGAAAAAGAATTTAATCACAGGAAAAAAAGCTGGACTTCAGAATGACCTCAGGTATCAGCTTTGTTGATGTGAATGGCAGAATTTGTGCTCTCCTTTTCTATCTCAGGAATTGAAGAATTTTATGTGTCATGGTTGATGTGTTGATCAATAAAACAACAACTGTCTTTTACACTGAAAGTTAAGAGCACTTTCAGATATCTGCATTAACCAAGCCAGTAGCTGTAGCAGAATCAATAGACAAGGCATCTTGCCTACTGGTGTGGATAAATGAAGTATGACTAAACTTTCAACAGCCAATGAATACAGATTAAGATGATAAAATCCATATGCAGAATATGTTTTGCAAGCAGTGTGCCTGGGAGTGGAATGTACTATAAAATGTTAGAAGTATTAAGAAATTCTAACTTCCATTTCCACTCTGCTTCACTCAGCATTTACACGCTAAGTTTGCAGTCAGGCTTCATTTTTTTTAGGACCTGTTGCAAAGGACCTCGGTAAATTTGCTGCTCTGTGTTCATCTGTCAGTTCTATAGCTTCGTGTCACTTTAAATCTTTCCTCCTATTTCCCTAGCCACTCATCCACACATTTAGCACACTTTCATCTCCTAATGAGCTCCTTTCTATTGTCAGTGAAGTTTCTGTTATGTCACTACTGCTATAGAAGCCAATCATCTTTAGTTCACCATGTAGATAAAAAGAATGAAACAATTTTTTTATTAATAGCCTAATACATTCATGTTTAAACAATGACTCTAACTTGTATCATTTTCATCCAGATGCTTGAATACAGAAGGACTACACTAGAGCTTTGTGAGATAAAGTCAGACAAATATAAAATAATTCTGTTTCTAATCCAATCTGCTAAATTTGTTTCATTAAATGTGCTCTACTATTTGCTGCTTTTTCTCTTGGGTGGTTCAGACTTCTGCTCCATTTTGTTTGTAAAAAGGTGTCTGAATGAACGACTGGATAGCATTTCCAAAATGCAGACCTATGTACATACAATATATATAATTAATAGTAAAAAGTCTTAATTATACGAATTGTATGAATATTCTGAAGAAACCCAAAGAACATTTGTTTTCTTTCATGCAAATACAAGCATACCAGATCTGTATTTCCCAGATGAAGAGAAATTATCATAAACTTCAGCATCAGGATGAAAATATATGATAGCCACTCAGTATAGATGGAAACACTTCCTACAGTAATGAAAGAATTAAGGAGGATACACAGTTGGCCAAAAGGAAAAACATCCTATAAATGTGAGTCCAGAGCTCAATACTGATTCTCAGTAAAAATAATCTAACAATTTCTCTCTCTTCCTCACTGGAAATCAGACATCCTTTATATTAATCATGAAGAACTTACACTGTACCATGCATCTGGAAGGGATGTCAACCTCTGAAAACTGGAAATTCATTAATGGATACTATATAACAATGAAGAATCCAAGATACTGTTTTTAAAGGTTGCTTGTTTAAATTATTATTTCTGATATCATGGTCAAATAATGTAAATTTATGAATGTTACAGTACATACTGTTAAAGTTGGCTAACTTAGTAAGAGTTGACTACCTTAAATCTGTGAAGTAAACAAGAAGACTGAATATTAAAGACAGTAGCTCAGCATAAAAAATGTGATATGCCCTTGAACTTGTAACACTGCAGTAAGCAATTACCTTAAAGAGGCCACCCACACAACAGAACTATGGCTTTGTTCCTTATCTTCAAAGAACAAGCCACTTGCATCTGGATCAAATCCTTTAAACAATACATGAGCACTCAACATCAAAGCCCTTTATTTTCTTCAGTTATTTAATTTAATTAGAGCTAATACAGACATGAATTTAGACATTGATTACCGTGTAGAAAATCCCCAGAAAATATGTTCAAGAAATCAATCAATTTGGTTTTTAATTTCATAAAGAATTTTTCACCCAGTACCTGACAGGAGCGCCTCTGCTCTGTGCAGGTTTCAGCAAGACTGTCACAGTGCTGTCAGTTTGATTCAAAGGTGTTTCAAGTTCATACGGTGGCATAGAGGGTGCTAGAATAAGAAAAGAGGCAAATAAAATCATTATTCCTGTATTTCTTCTTTCAAGAGCTGTATCTTTATTTGAATATGCAATTTTAAAGGTTTCTTCAAATACTAAGACCATACTACAAGTCTAAGATGCTTTCTGTTACAATGCAAGTGTGAGACTATTGTTAAATATCTTCAGGAAAAAGAGAAAAAAAAATCCCAAATAAAGAAATACCAGCTCACTCCCAGTTTCAAGACAGGAAACAGATACTAGTGGGAGTAAGTTTGCAGAAACTATTGAGAATCCATGACTTGGAAATGAAAAGTTATCTTAAGAACAGCATCTGCAAATGTGCATGCTGAAGTGACTATTGTTTTTGAAACTTAGCCCAGCTTTCTCAGTATGACAGCTGTATCAGGATGTACTCTCATAATTTGTTTTTCCTGGAATTTTAACTAGTGCTATAACTGTCTTGGGTCTATTGTCCACCAAAACAAGAGTTCATCTTAGTTTGAAGCCCCACTCAGCACTTTTGCAAACTGTCTTCATTAAAGATTTACAGTTGTGATTAAACAAATGATGCCTCAGTTACTGCCTTTTACTGTTGCTGCTTTCTTCACTGCTATCATCTACTCACATTTGTATCATTACAATGGAGGGAAGGCTACTGAGTTAATTGGTTATTTGACAGGCTGCTGTATCCTTATTGCTCACTTGTTAATGGTGATGCAAAATTAACAGATTTAAAGGCTAGAGAAGCAAAAAGTGGTCATTGCAATGGTCTCTTCTAACTGCAGGAATAATGCAGGGCAATTAACTCCGCTAAACTAATTCCCACTTGAAAGTGAAAACATGTTTGGTGAGGAAGAAGACCTTTTCCTTAGAAGGTTCTTCCAAAGATTGATTTAGTTCATCTCGATTAATTCAGTTTCATCTTACTGGATACTTTGCATGTAACATACCAATAGAGTGTATTATGCCCCACATACAGATTGCAATAACCTCTAGGAAATTATTTTCAAGTGTATTTTCCAATAATTTTCATTTTTTCCAGTATTATCTACATCTTTGAAAGGCAAATTAATTTCTCTCTCTTTATCCATAGCACCCTACATATCCAAGTAAGGATTGTGTGAAGAACTGCACTGGACTCCAGTGAACTGCAGTTCCTCAGACTGCTGGGAAAACATTAAAATCTTCATTGCTTTGCATTGCTATTAACCAGTTTCGAAATGTTTCACAAATAAAAAAAGTTAGTCTTCAAAAACCTCCTCGTACGCTGAGAAGGTTTTATTCTGTTTACAATCCTCAATATAAGGCACAAATATTAAGATTAACAGTTTTAAGTAATTTGGGTACCACTTAAGTCATATTATCAAAAACTACTTTAAAGGTTCAGGCACACTCTGCAGATTTGAATATTCAGAACTTGTTCATATAATGTCCTGTTCTCAACCTGACCATCCTGAAAACAAGAATGGACAGGAACTGTATCTCTGAAAGCTGTACAGTTTTTGAGTACTCTGTCATTTCTTGTCCTTGTTCTACTGCCCACAACTTAGCAAGTCTTTTGATTTTCCTAATTTATGTACCCTAAGTCCCTGCTTGCTCTCCTTACTAATTTTACTGTCTCTACAGAGACAAAGACAATCTTCCTGTCCCAGATATGGGTTATGGTTCTCCCAGTCATAACCTTTAGTCCTGGCTACTTTTTCTCTTCTTCGTTTTTCCTTGTCTACTTTAGGACTCTTCCTCCTCCACACTGCCTACATGTAAAGAAGGAACTTACTAATAAACAGAGAAAAACAGGAAATATTAATGTAATAGTGAAATAAAACACAGTAACTATTTCCAGGACATAAGAGTACTATTCAAAACCATTGACAGGAAATTTGGAAGTTTTTATTCAGAAGAAAATGCAGTCCAGAATTAGTTGGAGTAAAATGCAAAAATTAGTCAAATTGCACCTAATCTTTTCTAAAAAATAGTGAAACCTTTCATCCAGAAATATTCAGAAGTTCTATTTCACATCTGTCCAAAATGGAGAGCACTGTCTACACAAAAGAGCCTCAAAACTTTCCAGGGAGACAATGAGATCACAGCCAATACCACTGCAAAGAGGGCTCCATATTCAACAGTTAAAATGCTGTTGGAACTTTTCAATTTTATTTAAAAATTCAATTTTATTAAAAAAACCCACACATTTTGTTTCTAATTTAAATTCATCAGAGATTGGTTTTGATTACTTAAGCACAAGGCAAACACTTCTTGTTAGTACAGTAACTAAGGAAGCAATGAGAGAGTGGGGTGCAGACAAGACAAGTTTGCAGAACCTCGCCACATGGAGATTTGGAGGTTTCCCTCACCCTCAAGCACTCCTGAAATGCCTGTTCCCACTAGTGAATTTTTGCTGATGACATAACATTTTAGAAAACAACAATTTAAGATCCGGTACTATTCTCAAATGTCCAGATTCTCATCCATACTCAGTAGTCTCCATTCCTCATTCTAATAAGGGGTGGCATCATCCTCCTAACTGATATAAAGGTTTGCTGTGTCAGACATTGATTTTCAACAGAGAAAATCTCTACTCATTATAGGAGTAAACTCCATCTTTACTGATGAGTGTTACTTATCTTTCATATTCCATACAGAGTTAATTGTCTAACTTGAAAATTAACATTTTTGTTTCTCTACAAACAGCTGTGTTGGCAGTAACTTCCACCTTGCATTAACTGTCCTCTCCAATAATAAGATAGGAGAAACAATTCTATTTCTGGTAAACACTTGTCCATTTTTTTCATTCCATTGAGGACAGAAAATGAGGGATGGGGGAGAAGAACAAAAAATGACAATAAGAGAAAAAGAAGATTTTGTACCCAAATGCTTTCTGGAAAGCCCAGTTGCCCACAAATAGGTAAGGCAATTTTCTGTAAATGTTATCAAGGGGACAGTTAAAACTCTTTGTCATGAATTACATAAGCATTTTGGAGGATGCAATAATATTCTATCCCCTCAATGAAAAGTTCCTCTGCCTCAAGGGAGGGCTTGAAATATTGGTCAAGGATCTGCAGAAGTGACAGAGTCATGATGCTGTTATCTGAAAACCACTAGTCCTGATGTTCTTATCTAATACAGTTTCCTATCCACTTCAGTCCCCATGCTTGTTAGAACACAGGCAGCCTGGCAGCTAACTACAATTTTAAAGTGAGCTCTAGATGTACAGCATCTCTGCTCTACTCTTGATGGTTCATGGCTCATTAAAGAGATTTTCCAGCACTGTTACTGTTCTAATTTAGAATCATGTCAAGGCTGACTAAGCTCTGAATGAAACCCTCATCTTCAGGTCCAAAAAAACCCTATGCTAAATGTTGCAAGTGCAGCTGGCATTGACTGCAAACACATAATTCACAGGGGTTTCTTGAATGATATGTTACAGTTGAGAACAGGAATTTCAAAATACTAGCTAATATTTAAGCACTTAGAAGTTCTTCAGGGATGACTTTGACATCTTCAGGGATGAACGTGTTTCTTCCCTTTTTCAATTTGCAGCTTGTTAAATTCTAAAGAAGTAAACAACAAAAGAATTACCCAACTCATTATCATAAGGAAATAATATTCTTTGATCAAGTACCTGATATCTTAGTCGTGAACTGATTTGTTATTGGCGGTCCGAAGCCTTTAGCTGTGCTGGCTCTGATGGTGAAAGAGTAGGTAGTGCCAGGATACAGTCCGAAAAAGAGATAATGTGTTTCATTTCCTAGCTTTGAGACTCGTCCACTTTGATTGGATAAATCTATTTCTGGGTCAAAGGAACTGACTGCCTTGTAGGTGATCTGCAAAAGAATAAGAAAGTTATAAACTGCCTTAGAGCAGATCGACAGAGATTGCATCTTTATCCAGTAAGCCCTTCTGATGTATGCGCTGTCAGACATTTTATGATAAGCTATTTTACTCTCTTATACTCTTCAAATCCCTAATCCCAGGAAGAGGTACAGGAACTGAGTCATAACTTGTATGAGTTATTACTTTTATAGATACAGAGACTTAGAGGCAGCTAGATTACAACTCTAAAGGATGGGATCAGGCTTATGTTAATTCCTTCAAGATGCTGCCTTTAACAGTGCCACATTTTGAATTCATCTTAATGTTGGTTTTGATCAGCACCAGTAACAAAACCAAAACAAATGGGTGAAAACTGAGAAGTGACCAAGAGGGAGTGCAGCCCCCCAGATACAGCTGACTTTACTATAATTACACTTTGCCCTGAATGAGGTTATCTGTAAAAGATGATAAGGGCAGCTTAAAGCAAATTTTTCAGAAACTGGGTAAAGCTTCTATTTTAGTCTGAAGCTTAGTTATTACAATTGCTAATTTGGAATTTTTCAGGTTATCATATTGTACCTAGGTCATATTCTCATTTGGAGGGAAGAAAAGATAAATGTTAAGTAATATATGCAGTGTATATTGTATCCTCAGTTCTTTCCTTGATTCAAACAGTATTTTTAGTTTTCATTAGAAATGTTAATGTAAGTTCACAGTAAAACTTTATCCAGACTTATTCTATTAATTACTGATTTCTATGCACTGTAATGAGAATTTAAAAATATGAAAACCATTTAAAAATATGAAAGCCATTAAAAAAATAGAAAAGTAAAAATTATTCACCCCTCCTTTTTCCTTTTAAAGCTTCATTTTCATGTGAGTAATTACAAAGCCCTTATTATATAAAAGTGATAATTGCCATTCTTTTTGCTAAACTTATTCAATATAATTTTAATTAAGAGGACCCATAATACAGTACATAGACACATCCAAGTGTCGATGTTACACACCTTAAACACTTGCAATTTCCTAAAACTTCTGACCTAATGAAAATTGATTTTTCTATGAGCCATCTAATATAACATCAATGAAGGGCTGAAAATTAGTAATAAAAACTTTCAGACTATTCAGATAAACCCTGACCTTATTACAGCAGATACAGGCATATCCTCTACAAATCCTCATCCATAAACTGAACTCAAAGTACCTTAAAAAGCACCCAACTAACCCTTCTAATTCTATCAGATGATGGAAGATTAAACCACCAACTGTCTGAACTTTTATCAGTAAAGAAATTAAGGTAACATATTGCTCACATGAATCTCCCTATCTCAATACAGCTGATGGAGTCATGTGTGCGTACACATTTAAGGATGAACTGCCTGGATACAGTGGGCGTACTCCTCAGCAGTGGAATTAGACATTCAGGCATGTTCCTAGGTATAAACCAGATCTACCACCCTGTGTTTCTATGCACATAAATCTAGCAATAGTAACAATATTAACACTTAATTAAAACATGCTGATCTCTGAACACAGGCAGCTGTTGTGGTAGCTAGAAAGTTGTTAGCTTTACAAAAAATCAATTCATATTTTTTCATAACATTTTATCCTCTTACAATAAACAGTTTTTCAAAACAGTATCAATAGGTTACTATTCAATTTAACTTTTCTTTTACACTGTATTTAGGTGGGTTTTTTTTAAACAAAGCATTTCAATACCAATTTTGTAGTAAGGTCAGGTAAGAAGCTTAACAGTGATTACTGTCTGACAGCTTAATCTGTGCAGCCTTTTGTCAATTTTTCTAAGAGGTATTCAGGCAGACTTCCACATGAGAAAAACAAGTGATTTTTAGACATCTAACAACATACAATTTTGTTGAATTTGCATTTTTAAAAAGCTAGATTTTTAAAAATTATTCCTTGCTTGTTTCTGTTACAATAGGCTTCCTATAATGATGCCTATCTAAATGTGACATTGACTGTAACCACTATCTTATGTCTCCAATTTTTTAAGGAATTTGCTAATATCTGTCTTTCAATCTTTTAAATATTTGATCTAGAGTACTAGATAGAATGCTGTGTCATGGTTCTAGATATAGCAGGTTTCTTAAAGCTGATAACTTGAGGACATGCTTCGTCCTGTGTAATTTACTCCTACATTATATTTACTTTTAAATAGCTACTTTTAAAAAAATTAAATTAATTTTACATAAAGTGCAAAAACACATTTATTTTTTTATGATTACGCACATTGGAAAATCAAACTAGACATAAAACGTGGCAAATTTCTAGATACCTCATACAAAGTAATCACACCATATGTTTGCACTGGCTCCCTCCACTGAAGAAAAATCTTCTCTTCGAAGGTACTTCCTTGAATGGATTCAAGTGGCACAGCACTCGGGACTAACAGATTAAAAAAAAAGAAGTGGTTTTAAG